CTCCACCTGCCTTTATTACTTTTTAGAATTTCAACTATGTCCCATTCTATTGTATGATTGTGTGTTAATGCATGCAGTGCCTTAGCTACCCTCTATCTACTGGTTTGACATATGTAGTTGATTTAACTCACATTCATTGGAAGGTATTTTGTAAATTATATTATTTTGTTTAATTCGGCCCACTGGGTCCTTTAGCCTACAGAGCATGTCCTCGCTGAATGAGTTTGTAGGTTTGAATGCCACCACTCTAATTCCTGCTTTATTGAGAATCCTACGTAGAGTCTCAGATGTCCCCTCCTTAAATGGTAAAACTGTAGATGCCTTATATTCTCTCTTATTTATGTTATCACTACTAGTTTCACAATTATTTTATTTTGCTTTTGAACTTTTCTGATTTTCCTAATGGATTTTAATAGGATAGTTATTTAACATCAACGCTTCTTCTTCTATCTGTTTCATTTCATCATTTAGGCTTGTTGATGGTACTGCTTGGTGTTAGTTGTTTCTCGGTTTCTAAGACACATACTTGACCAAGCCTGCTTTCACATATAGATAATGAATGAAATGAATTAAAGTTTAAATATCTATTAGCAGAATGTGTTGGGCTTTTTATGAACTCTAGAGTACAGTTTAGCTAAGCATAGATTGATTGACCCCGCGATGATAAGTAATTTAGAAAAACACTCAGCAATCGCACTAACACACAAACACACAATAGAGTGGGACAGAGTTACAATTCTAAAAGGTAATATAGGTAGGTGGAGATAGAGGGAGGTTGATTACTGAATCATGGTTCATCGAGTGAATCTACACCCAACACATGAAATAGAAATGACTCATCACTCATATCATTATTATTATATTATTATTGTACCCTTAATTCCTAGAGGAACATAGGGCTTCAGCCGTGCGTCTCCATTGCGTTCGGTTCTCTGCTAGAGTCTTCACCTGGCTCCATGTCTGCCCACACGTTTTCATCTCCTCTTCACATGACCTCCTCCAAGTCACCCTTACACTGACGACTAACTCGCCGCTTCCCTTTCGGGTTCCACTCGAGCGATGGCTTGCCTAGTGATGTCACTTGATGGTTTCCTTCTTATATCATATCACTCATATCAGAAATATGGGAAATATCCCTACCAGTCGTTAAATCAAGAGATGAGAAATAGTGGAACCATATAAAAGAAGTTGGAAAGTTGTGTGAGTAGTGTCTTGATATGTTTATGAACAGTAATAAATCGTTCTCGAAACGTGGTCATCATTAAAATGAAATTATACTCTATCACAGTTGACCCAGCGCTATTCTTATATATAAATCAATAGTTCACTCGCATATTTATGGTATATATTGTCATTAGTAGTTCTGTCCAAATTTTAGACCAAAATTATTGATACATTGCTGATGCACATATGCACTCAGAAATACACACTCGTGAAATTAACACACACACACACGATTACTATGACATGATTTGAATACTTTTCTAATCAATAATAATCGTAATAATAATACTTTGAATTATTTTATGATACTGATAAGTAAAACAAAATCGATAGAAAGAGAGAGAGAACACTACACTATAATTGAATACAACAGATTCTAAATGATAAGCTTTGTGCCTTTAGAAATTATCAATTCACTGACTGCTTAAGGCTGTCTGCCTTACTGATATAAGTATAAAACTTGGGCACTATGTAGCAGAGTATAAGATAAGATTTGATTTTGATAAATCACACAGTGTGGTGTTATACAGTAATATTAACTGATGACCATGTTTCACAATTATTTTCTTGACACATATAAGCTCACTAGTAGAGGGAATGAAATTCACATATGGATCGGAAAATGAACGAGGAGAATTAGCTGTGATGTTAGATTGTAATATAAAACGAATAGAAGAAAGCAAACTACACATTAGCGTTTATAGAAAACCAACGCATTCTAATAGATATTTAGACTTTAACTCATCTCATCCTTTAACTGTTAAGGCAGGCTCAGTTAAGTGTCTAACAAACCGAGCGGTAGAACTAAGTAGCACGAGAAAAGACCTCAATGATGAAATGAAACAGATACAAGAAGCGATGGTGTTAATTAAATAACTAACTATCCTATAAAATTCATTAGGAATATCAAAAAAGGTCAGAAGCAAAATAGAAATAATCGGAAATCTATTATTTATAACATAAATAAGAGAGAATATAAATCATCTACCGTTATACCATATAAGGAGGGGACATCTGAGACCCTGCGTAGGATTCTCAATAAAGCAGGAATTAGGGTGGCATTCAAACCTACAAACTCACTCAGTAGCAAGCTCTGTAGGCTAAAGGACCATGTAGGCTGACCCAATTAGACAAAATTATATAATTTACAAAATACCCTGTAATGACTGTGAGGTCAACTATATAGGTCAAACTAGTAGGTCATGGGTAGTCAGATTGTCGGAACATAAGAATTCAGCTAATGTAAGAATGGTTGACCGCCAGAAGATAAGTAATTTAGAGAAAAGCTCAGCTATTGCACTTCACGCATTAACAAACAACCACACAATAGGGTGGGATAGGGCTAAAATTCTAAAAAGTAATATAAGTAGGTGGAGAGAGGTTGATTACGGAATCCACCCAACACATGCAACTGGAATGACTCAATGCAAATACCAGAGATATGCGTGGAAGATATTATTACCACCAGTCAGTCAAATCAGAGGAGGATAATAAATAATCTCAAAAATTCTATTTCAATTCACATACATTATAACATTCTAACAAGTTACTTATTTATTTGACTATAAAACCACTCGTCTTACTTCTCATCTGATTGTATTTTACTCATAACACTAATATTATTTCCCAATGCATTTCATCTTATATTGATTTCATTCAAATGTCTAATCATCAATTTTTACTCATGTATATAAATGAAGCAAGAAAGTTGTGTGAGTGATTGCCGTGAAATGATTATGAGTGTCAATACTTTGTGCTCGAAAGGTGGTCATCAGTTAATATTACTGTGTAACACTATGTGACTTATCAGAATAAAATTTGATCTATAATGGTGTCTGCCTTACTACCACTGATGATGTTCTGTCTTGCCTTTCTGAACCTGACTGGCTTTAACCTCTTCATCCGTGTTGTTTAGTTATGTGAAATTGGTGATTCCCTTCAAATTTCTCCCATTGATAGTGATTGATGCCTGATTGTTTCCCTTGGTTAGATATTTTCATCACCAGTGTTCACTTGAAGTTGTGTCTTCGCTACCTACCTCTGCTGTGCCGACCTGATGGTTTTTGTCTGTAGACTTTCGAGTTCGTATAACAATAAAAACATGAATCATCCACGAAGTCCAGATCTCCTAGAGTCCTTGTTTTGTCGGTTCAACGTATTCCTGTTTCCCCTTCAAAGGCATCCCTGAGTTTTCCATCGTGAATCACTTCACGTGTGGCCCTAATCATCATGCATCCGTTGAATGAAGTTTGATAAAGGTCTTGGGGCAGTTCGTTGTGTGTTGAAACAGTTTCGAAATCACTTCCAGATTAACGCTGTTGAAGGCTTTTCAAAGTTATCCTACGCTTATCCACCAGTTCTGAGAGGAACACAGGTGGCTTCTTTTTGATATGGTTGTGTTCTCTGAGCTGGATAGTTAATTTGCGGAGCTTTCATCACTGCCCTACTAGGCAACATCTTCAACGCATACTTCAATTTGAAGTGAAGTGAGCTTTTAGATTTCTCCACGAGTGTATTAATCATCTCTCCTAGTGAGTGACCTTGAACGTGATTGGTTGTTTTTGTGTGTTTTCACACCTTCTCGGTTATTTGTATTGGAACTGATTGTTTCTTTGACCCTTTGTGTGTGAGGTTTCTTTCTTATTGGTTGGTAGATTTCGTCTATCTCGATGTGTTTATTGATTGATGATTCACTGGAATGCCAAGCTTCTAAAAATTCCCTAGCATTCTTGTTGTTTCCTCTGTCTAATATTTGAACGTTGTCCCAGTTGAATTGGTGTCCGTGGTTATCTGTATGTAGTGATATGAGGGAGAGGATATCATGTCTTTTGACAGCGAGCTTATGTTCGTGGATACGGAGACGAAAGGGACGTCTACTTTGGCCAATGTAGTGTTTTTCGCAGTTGTTAGAATTTATTTTGTAGACGATGTTGGTTTTATCTTCCTTCGTTGTTGAGTCTTTTGGTTAACATAGAACTGAGTGAAGTGATTTTGTTGGTTTGTGTGCGATGTCAATTCCTAAAGGTTTGAAGAGTCTTGCAGTGATTTCTGAGATGCCCTTTATATATGTTAGGACGATTTTCTCTGTGGCTTCCTTGGGCGCCTTTGGTTTGATAGGTTGGCTTGGGGGTATATGTTTTTTAATGAAATTCCGTGGACATCCATTCTTTCGGAAGACGTCTATGAGATATCTTTCCTCAATTTTCCTTAAGTTGGGAGTGCTGCAATGTATTCTGACCCTCTTGAATAGTGTTTGTATGCAATTCCTCTTGTGTGCTATTGGATTGTTGCTGTTGTAATTCAGGAGTTGGTCTGTGTGAGTGGATTTTCTATAGACTTGAGTTTCTAATTCCCCTGTGGGGTTGTTCGTTTGACTAAGACGTCCATAAATGGGATTTGGTTCTCTGATTCCTCTTCTCTTGTGAATTTGATGTCGTTGAAGACGTTGTTTATCAGGTTGTGAGCTTTATCTAACTCGTTTCTTTTGATAATTAGAAATGTGTCGTCTACGTAGCGTATCCAAATCTTGGGTTTGATCTTTAGTAGAAGTTTGCTTTTGTTTTAACTGAACAGGGTTACAAAATTCACGTGTAAGCTTCCCGTTTTTGGTGGATAAACTAAACGAAGTTCTAGGAGTGCAACTGTCGGCTGGGGATCGAACTCTGGGAGTCATATGCGTGAATCACTGACGCACATTTGTTTATTCAAATATTTACTGAAAACTGATTTCTGATTGTTCTCTTAATACCATTTGTTTTTCTTTGTTATCATTTTAGATGATCAAACGAGAGTTGTTCTCCGAAATACAACTAATCAGAATCCAATAAGATTTTCAGAGGTAAATATTCCATTGGTTTTTTCCTCTTGTTTCTTAATGTATTATGCTGTAAATGAATTAACTGGTTCATGAATTATATGGGATCACACTGTTGACGTGTCTCGAAGTGGGACTCAGGAGATTTGTACTTGAATTAGAACTAGTGCACCACAAAAGAGTCTGTCAAAATCCAAAAACAGGTTAGATACTCGCATTGTGTCGTGAATTAGCAGAAGTAAGAATACAGGGACTGGTCATTGGATTGAGTCCCAGTGGATGACTAATGGTCTATAAGCTCGCCTTGTAACTTAGTAGGTCCTGGATTCGAACCCTGGCGGTGGATGTGTAACTTCTGATGCTTAACGCCATTTTCTTTCAATATCATCTTCAGTGTGGATGTATAGTACCTATTTATATTTATCGAAAAGATGCACAGCAGTCTATTATTGAATAACAGAGGCTCAGAAATGGTCCCTAAATATGACAAAGAAATTACGTAATAGTCAGTTATGTAATCACAGTAACCGTTTAAAGTTTTGATAGTATGAAAATTGTCTCCAGAGGAGAAACAAGGTAGGTAGGTAACTGATGGATAGCGACTAGCCATGGAATCCACGATGCGCATTTCGTCCCATTTTGCAACTCGTCAGCTAGGTGATTGCATCCAGCATCAAGCTGGATTCCACTGCTAGTCACCATCTCTACCAATTGACTTCAAGTGACACGACCAGATATATCGTCGAAGCATCTGCACAAGGCGCTGACATATGTCAACCTGAGACCGAGCACTTCTATCCAATCACTCTACGGAAAAATCTGAATAGAATTAAGTCGTGAGCAACAAGGTAGTGAGAGTGTCCATTTGGAAAGTGTTGAGAAGGTGAGAGAGAGAAAAACCTTAGTAAAATTAGAAGAAAACAGGTACGAAGGAGTTTAAGTTCAGGGTTATATTGACCAACCTCTAGTGCGCGTCTACCCTTAAATACATATCCTAATATAACACCCTTTGAAACATTCGACCTCACCTTTTAGATGCTTTTAAAAGAAGACTCCAGTGGAGCTGCGTGACTTGAGTGTTCATATTGTCTTCCTAATAAGCATGACGGATAATGTGTAGAGATGCGTTTAGAAAGTGCGCGCTTTGTGCAGTTAGTATACCTAACCCCACAGGAGCAAGTGAATTGTAAACATACACTAGAACCCAGCTACTAGGATCCCGTCCAGTGGTCTATGAATTCCAACTTCTACCAGTTAGGGATATTTTGATTGGATACTAGCAACTAGTGTGATGTGTCTAATCCTTTCTTTCGTGCAGACTGAATTCTGACATCAGTCATGCAATGTGGCCACCAACAATCTAGGTAGCTCGCCATCACGGTGCACCTTGATTTGATAATATTAGATAGTTGGAGGCAATCGGCCACAGGAAGCCTTGTCGGGACCTAGGTTTCGTGCTAGTTGGCACTCACCAGTCAGCAAGGCATGTCTGCAACCTTGAAGGATATATATATATATATATATATATATAAGGATAGGTATATGTAGAGCAACCGTCAGCCGATTTCATCGGCGAGTAACCGTCCTCTTCCAGTGTATAGGGACAGTCGCTAACGAGTATCAGATTTAGATATGATGGAGAAGATTTGTAACTCAAGTGGATGATTTTGATGTGGTTGTGTTCTCTGAGCTGGCTGGAGGGTTTATTTCGGAAGCTTTCATTGCCCTACTAGGCAGCATCTTCAGAGCATACTTCAATTTGTCGACGATTCACTGAATCGTCAATCAATAGACAAAATCTACCAAACGATAAAAAGGAAGCGTCACACACAAAGGGTCAAAGTTCAAGTCAAGGAAACAATCAATACCATTACCAATTCAAGTAGCCTAGAGGGTGTGAAAACACACAAAAACAACCAATCACACCCAAGGTCACCCGCTAGGAGAGATGACTAATAAACTCGTGGAGAAATCTAAAAGCTCACTTCACTTCAAATTGAAGTATGCGCTGAAGATGTTGCCTAGTAGGACAGTGATGAATGCGTCTCCAGCCAGCTCAGAGAACACAGCCACATCAAAAAGGGTATCAGATGATGAGAAGTCACGAGTTGCCATCAACATCGCTTCACTAAATCAGGTGAGATGACATTTAATAGCCGTTAATTGTAGTTGTTGGTTGGAGTGTATATATATCGTAAACTGAGAGAATATGAAATTCATGGGCAACTCTATCAGGTCCCAGTGACTGAATGCTGTGTGAACTCGGCTTGTAACCGAAGGGTTCTGAGTTCGGACCCTCAGTGGGTGCGTTTTGATGAAGAGCTCCAAGGTAAGAGGAAACAGCTGCCCAATTCTCCCTAATATCCTAATGGTTCTCTAACTGACGTCAGCTTGTGATCGAACTTGTAAGGAATGAAATCCTTGAAGAAGGATACTTGAAAATATCTTGAAATGGTTCAAGGCGGCAGCAGGTCACCTTTCACACGTCTACTAATCATTTGCTGACAGTAGAAACTAATCCGTAGCTCAGGGAATAGGAATCTCAAATGAATCTGTATTTGGTCGTCTCACATCCTATTGATTTCTAAGAAGAATTTTCGCTTACCTCTTTACATAGAGAAGTTGAGACATTCTAATGGCATAACTTAACCTCTTCTCTTTACAATTTTTGTAATTCATGTATTCTGCCCATTCACCTTCTTTATTGTTCACCCAGCATACTCTTCCCTGAATTTCTCAAAAAAAAGATTATATCATATTACGTAGGACAGTGAAGGTTGTAGGTAGGGCTAGTGATGTGCCTTTGACACGGTTAGGTGAGATTATTGTCAATAGGCACTTCACCTATTTGGGAAGTTGTATCAGCACCAACTGATTGATTGGGGACTAAATCTCAGCACGGATGCAGAAAGCTCGAGATGCTTTCGCTAACTTACGCCATCTCTGGCGTAGACGTGATATCCGGCTATCAACCAAGGGACGTGTGTACTGCTCAGCAGTTCGCTCCGTCCTTCTCTATGGCTGGCTCTGAAACATGGCCAATACGAGCTGAAGACATGAAAAGGTTGACTGTTTTTGATCATAGATGTCTACGATCTCTTTCTCACGTTAGGTGTTATAATTAGGTAAGTAATGTTGATGTCAGGCGTAGAGTGTTGGGCAAAGAGGGAAAATCAATCGAAGAGGCTATAAAGTTACATAGGTCACGTGCTGCACATGCCTAAACATCGTCTCCCCCGACGGACGGGCATTACTAGCTGATATAGGTGCAGGTTGGAAAAGAGTGAGTGGTGGCCAAACAAAAACATGGCCTCATCAATCCATGAAATGCTTGACAGTTAAACTGAGTCAGTCATGTAGGTAGGGAGATGCAGAATTCCGGGTTGGGGCTCGCCCTCGGGACTCTAAGAATCAATGGCTGGAGACAGACAATAGGTGAGATGACTCAAAGTCGTTGTCAATGGCATACGCAGATGTATTCAGTCTCTGTAATCTTTCATATTCCTTTCTACCATTACTCATTCCGTTTCACTCTTATACTTGTCAAAACTCTATTGATTCTCTTCACTCATCTTCTTGTCTACCTTTGTGTGGTATTTGGAACGTGGCAACTAGAACTACTGCACTTCGGTGCCAGGTTCTATGTTGAATCCAGACAGAGACAATAGGCATTTCAATTCAATTCTTGCTAGCATTTGGGTAAAGTTATCTTGTCTGATACCGAAACCCTCTCTACTTATTCCTAACACTTTCTTTGTATATCTTCGGGAGGTGAAACCAGAGGAAAATGAGTAAGAATTTACTCTCGTACAGCTACTAAATATAAAAATTCTACCATACCAACCATATTTAACACTGGTTTTGTATGAAGTGTCACATATCATAAAAGAACTTATAAACTTCTTAAATCAGTAACTGAACTGCAAAGTATAAGCCAAGATTATTAGTATAATTACATATATTATCTATGATACTATCTACTTATACTTCACTATGTTTCCACCAACATTCTGTTTATAGTCGTTGCATTATTAGTAGTATTATTACTGTTTAAAAATAAATGTATGTACATATTTATAAAAGGAGCTAAATTGTTGCAATGTGTATAAAAACGCTGAAATTTCCATTCTGTATAATTAGAATTCTCAAGAACTAGTTTGTAGGTTAAACAGACGGATTGATATCAGTTAGAGAACCATTGGAAAACCAGCCACAGGGAGTACTGGATAGTCAGCTGTTTCGTCAGCCTAGTTTGGAAATCATCGGCAATACGCACCCACCACCAGGGGGTTCGAACCCAGACCTTCCGGTTACAAGGCAAGCTCGTACACATTTCATCCACTAGGACCCGATTCACTGGCCAGCCCATGAATTCTAACTTCTACCAGTTCGTGATTTAGCGCGACCAACAACCAGTGGGTGCGTACTGTCGATGATTCCCAAACTAGGTTGATAAAACAATGGTTCTCTAACTGAAATCAATCTGTGATCAACTCGTAAAAACAAAATTAATCCTTGCAAACCAGCTATAGAAAATTAATCTGATGCTCGCTAGTGAGTGACTGGCTGCAGGACGGAGTTTCCTGGATTCCTAGTGAGAAGTCGTGACCAGTGAGGTCCATCTAGACTTCAAGTGTGAGGATGGATGTCCCACCGACGATATTGGTTGGTGCCAGTCGCGCTAAATCACGAATTCGTAGAAGTTAGAATTCATAGGCTTGCCAGTGAATAGAGTCCCAGTGGCTGAATGGTATACGAGCCAGCTTGCATTTAACCTGAAGGTCCTGTGTTTGAACCCCACAATGTGAGTGAGTACTGCCGATGATTTCCGAACCAGGATGAAACAGCTGTCCAGTACTCCATGGTGGTTTCAATGGTTCTCTAACTGATATCAATCCGTAGTCAAACTCGTAAAAACAAATTTAATCCTTACAAACCAACTATAGAAAATTAATTATTATCATTTTTATTGTAATTTTCATTATTTTTTAATTTCAGTTATCTACAAATTTAAATGTTGGTTATATTAATGCTAATTTTATAAGAACGATAGAACCGCCTATCTCATCAAATGACACCATCCTTCGTGCAAACAATCAATGTGAATTTATTGCAACACAAGGTCCAATTAAATCGACAATTAGCGATTTCTGGTATATGATATATACATTTAAATGTCCAATTATTGTTATGTTAACAAAGTAGGTAAACAACAATTAAAAAAGAAACAGTTCAAATTTGTTTTAATCATTGGTATTTTTTGTGTGCGCACTATTTAAAACTTTTTATAAAGAGGTTAAGGATAAAAAGTGTTTTCCCACCTGCTTAAAAAAATGTCGATAAACCACCGTTGATAGAGACAGAAGGTAACATCTGAAATCAATATAGTTTTTCAGTCGCATAAGACTGCCTGGGGATATTCAAATCGTCGTAAAATTGACTGCATCTGTTTTATCCAGAGGTGGAAACATAAGGGAGGTAAATTCGCTTTGACGAAAACACCTGTACTCTGACCAATGACTGACTGACTGACTGGTTTCAGCGTAGAACTTTGAACAGATGGGCAGCAATTCCAGTTGCCACTCTCCCTTTATGTAACACACAAAGCAAGAGAAGAGAGCAAAGGGAGAGAGATAATAAACATAAGTGTGAGTGAGGGAAAAAGAATAGTAATATGGAAATACAATAGAGTTTTTTTGGGGGGGGGTATGATAAATCACAAAGAATCAATGCACCTTCGTCAGCCAGGCATTGGGAACTATTTTGAGCCATACCGGCAATTGTCTCCAGCCTTCATTATTTTATACCATCCCGACGACCCCAACCAGGAAGCCAATCTACACCTCCCTACGTGGCTGGCTGGCTGGGTGGCTTAAACTAACTGTTGTGGATTTGATTGACTAATGAAGACATGTTTTGGTCTGACCACCACCACTAGCTAGCTAACTCTTTTCCAACCTGATCCATCCAGTGTCAGTCATCTAACATTGCCCATTGTCGAGGAAGGCGATGGACGGCTACAAATACATGTATGTGTAGCACACATGTCCTAAACATCTTAATCGATGCAGCTGCTTCACAACCACCTCATCGATTGATTTCCCTTCCTAACCTAGCACTCGACCAACGCCTAAGCTCAATATTACTCACCCTGTTACACGGGAGATAGAACACAGACACACCTATGATCAGAGATAGCCAGCTAGCCTTTTCATGTCTTCCGCATTTTTAAAAGCCATGTCTCACAACCATCAGGAAGGTAAGAGTGAAGTGCTGGTGTGCAGTATACACCCCCTCTGATCGACAGCCAGCAGGTTATGACGTGTACGCCAGAGATGGTGTATACTACTTACTATACGCACCGTATGCTCACCCATGGAGATAAAACCTTCATCACAGTTGTACCTTAGCTGTATGCTGTTTACTCTTTAGACCGTGATGATAAGGCACAGTAGTTTATGCTTATGACTGGCTGATATGAATGAATAGCTGGAAATCGAAACACCAGACAGTCCTTCCGCTCATGTAGCGTAGAAAAGTCATCATTCGGTGTACTCTAAGGAAACCATCTCAAGTGACACTGAGTGACAGGCATTCGTTCGCTCGGAACTCTAATAGGAAACGACGAGTTGAGTGTGAGTATGATAGTGACACGGAAGAGGTCATGTGAAGACGAAATCAGAGCTTGTAGATAATCGTAGGACCAGGTAAAGAGGACTGAAGAGAACCTGATGTGAAAGGGAGATGTGCTTTTGAAGCTGTATGTTCCAAATGGAACCTAAGGGAGTAATAATAATGATAATAGTTTTTTTAAATTCCTTTTCGTTCCCATTGGAACATAGGGCTTTAAGCTCGAGGCTTGAAGTTTTGGTAGCTGTGGTGTTTCATTTTCATGGGATGAGTTCGCTAGCCACATACCCAACCTTCCGTCTCTACCAGTCTTGTTAATGGCTCAGCGAGGTAAAGGAGTACGTCGGTCATCCGGGGATTGAACCCCGGACCGCATACGTGGGTGGCGAGCGTTCTACCTCTGTGCCACCGACGCACACTAACAATAATAATAATGATTTACTTTATTCCAAAAACAGTACTTGTGATACAGAATGGAATTTTCAGCATTAATCACAATATTGCATCTAATTTCCTCAAATTATAAATAAATTTAATCACACAGAAAATTTTCCACATTTATAATAAAGGGGTAATGTCAAAAACATGCAGTATATAAAATGGAAATAATAATAATGGTAACAGCTAAGGTAATATAATAATACAAGTGAAAATTGCCGTGGGCTTGTTTCACACAGTATTGTCGATGCGGCATAGAAATCCTAGCATGTTTAAAAATATTGAATATAATGTTCTCTTGACATGATATGGTGAGGGGAAAAACAAAGATTACAGCAGTCAAAGAGATAAGTTGGTGTTTGCAGTTATGAAAGTAAAACAACAGGACCATGAATATAAGAGAAATAATAAAAGTAAAACTTGAAGGTATATAAGGATGGATGGAAGAGATTGTTTATTTACTAGATGAAAAAAGTTTAGTTAATTCTTGCCTGACACTATTTTCATCACATAAAATACATGCCAAATATGGTATCGTGGAATTTTTATACTTACACGTACGTGCATAAAGTCTTCTGAAAAGACTTCTTGTTTTATCTGAGGAGACACAAGGTTGGAGCTGCGGGTAAAGTGGATGCTCCAATTCAGACAAAATCCCTTTAGCAAATTTATTGCACGGCGGCCTACTTAAATCTTGGGCTACCAAAATTTCCATCCTATATATTGCATCTATTTCCTGCCACTAATAATAATACTAAATGGCCTCTACACACAGGAGTATTGTTTAATTTATTTGATTTTGATCTCTTGGTCTTTTTCAAATTTTAGGCTTCAGTGCAACAATCAAACTATCTGTCATTTATATTGGCCAGAGAAATTGAATACTGTGAAACATTATAAATCTGCAAACTATCAAATGGCAGTCAGTCTACTTGAAGTCAACCAATCCGATTGTTTTACTAAAAGAATTTTCAAGGTTTCATTGGTAAGTTTGTAGGTCACACTAGTCCTACCTAACAAGGATGCCCCAAATTATGGCGGTGTAGTTCGTTGCTATGTTCACATAATAATAATAATAATCATTATTATTATTGTTTCCTTTAGTTCCTAGAGGAACATAGGGCTTCAGCTGCACGTCTCCATTGCGTTCAGTTCTCTGCCAATGTTTTCATCACCTGGCTCCAAGTCTGCCCACACGTTTTCATCTCCTCTTCACATGACCTCCTCCAAGTCACCCTTGCACTGACGACCAACTCGCCACTTCCCTTTCGGATTCCACTCGAACAATGGCTTGTCTAGTGATGTCACTTGATGGTTTCCTCAGAGTATGGCCAGCCAATCCATCTCCATTACTTCCTGCCTATTTGTTTCACAATCGGTTCCTGCTGGGTTGGTTCGCTCCCAGAGATCTCTGTTGCCGATCTTTTCTGGCCAGCTATCTGATCTTGAGTATTGAGCGAAGACAACTGTTCATGAAGGTCTGTAGTTTGTTTGAGATGCTCTTTATGACGCGCAGTGCAAGTCTCTGATCCGTGTAGTGAGTAGCACTGACTGACTTCACATTGGAGTTGAAAATCCGGATGTTATTTTTCATGCTGAGTAGTGCTGTTGATCTCCACACAGACTTGAGAGTAATGAAAGCTTGTCTTGCTTTCCCGATCGTTGCTGATTTGATATCCTCGTCAGTTCCGTCCGCCTGTAGTTGAAACGATGCTTCCCAGATAGGTAGGTAGGTAAAGGAGGTTGCTTCTTCCAGGTTCCTTCCATTTATGCTGATTGTTGTCTGTTGTTGTTGCTGTTGGTGGTGTTGCCCAGGAATCTTCATCACCTCTGTTTTCTCTATGTTCACCTGAAGTCCTATCTTTGATGCTTCTTCTGCCAACTTGTTGCTTTTCGCCTGCATATCTTCCAGTTTGTGGGAAATCAGACATATATCATCGGCGAAGTCCAGATCCTCCAGGTTTTTTGTGTGAGTCCATTTTATGCCTGTTTCCTCATTTCCCGCTGTTTGTCGCATTATCCAATCTACTGCAATCAGGAAAATCATTGGCGATTGTAGGCAGCCAGCTTGTTTTACTCCTGTCCTCACTTCGAAGGATTCCGTAAGTTTCCCGTTGTGGATTACTTGGCATGCAGCATTGTCGTATAGCTGTTGGATGAGATGTATAATTGTCGGTGGCACCCTTTGGTAGTAGCGAAGTAGTTTCCAAAGCACGTCTCGATCGACGCTGTCGAAGGCCTTCTCAATAATAATAATAATAATATGTGACTAGGCTGCGCATTTCTTCCTACAATGATTTAAGCGCGTTGGTGGTTCATTGGTAAGATAGGCCAAGTTAAACTTTAAGCACCATTAACTAACTGCCAATCAGCGAATGACCTTGTGTGGTCCAATGGGTTTCATCCACGTTAGTTGAAGGTTCTGTTCCGCTTGATTCGAGTCAAATGTCAAGGAAGGTAAGCTGATGATTCTAATATTTCATAGGTACATTTCTGAACAGATCCCTTTTGTCCTTATATATATGTATTTGTAGTTACTCGGTCGGTCGGTCGGTTTTCGACATAGAACTTTGCACATATGTGCGGCAGTTCAGGTCGCCACACACCCTCCTTGTACCACACAAAGCAAGAGAAGGAAGTAGGAGAAATGCATATTAGAGACAGTAAACAGAGATATGAGGCAGAAAGAATAGTAATATCGAAGGGCAATATAGTTTTATTGGAAATCACAAGTCACAAGGAGTGGATGCATCTGCACCAGCCATTGAGAACGATTTTGAGCCATGTCACCAATTGTTTCCAACCATTGGTTTTTACCGTCCCGAGGACCCCAACCAGTCAGGAAGTCTACATCTTCCTACGTGGCTTAGACTAACTGTTGTGGATTTCATTGACTGGTGCCATGTTTTCGTTTGACCGACGCTAGCTCTTTTCCAGCCTGACCCTATATCAGCTAACATAGCCCATTGTCGAGGAAGGCGATGACTAGGCATACGTAATACATGTCCTAACCATCTCAGTCGATGTAATTTCACAGTTTCGTCGACTGATTTCCCCTCCTTACCTAGCACTCGACTCCTAACCTGAATATTGCTCACCTTATTGTACCACTTCACATGGGAGATAGAACGCAGACACTTATGATTGAACACAGATAATCTTCTCATGTCTTCTGCTCTCAATGGCCATGTCTCACAGCCATAAAGGTGGATGGAGCGGACTGTTGAGCAGTGCACACGCCCTTCGGTCGTTAGTCGGATATCGCGTCTACGCCAGAGACGGCGTAAACTGGCATATGCGAAACTAGCCCTCTGTATTCGTGCTGAGATTTCGTCGGAGATCAACCCGTTTGGGCTGATGGTACTTCCCAAGTAAGTGAAGCGGCCAACGTGCTCTACCACTTCACTTCCTATTTCTAGTTTAGGAGTCGGTGTAGTCCAATCCTGCAGCATCATCTTACATTTTACAGGGGCGAATCGCATGCCAAACATTTGTAGACTGCAGCTCAAGGTGTTCAGAAGACTCTGCATTTTGTCAGCGTCCTCGCCTAGAATATCGTCCGCATATTCTAAGTCAACGAGATTATTCCTTGGTGGTAGCAAGTCAATCCCTGAGTCGCTGAAGTGTGTTAGGGTTAAGTCCATTAGTTACTGGGTTTTAAAACAGCCTGTGACAGGTGTAGTTGCTGAAACAGAGAAAATAGTCCCCGTATCAGCAGTTCAGTGGTATCAGCACTGCAAAGATATCGTGTCATGGAAAATGGAGAGGCTTACTTCGTTATTGTGGGAGGAGAAGGAGGAGGTGTCGTCTTACACATGGATGAGTGGAAAGGTTATAACTCCTTGTCATCCCTTGGATATATATATATACATTCACCACTGCAGAGTTAACCATTCTAGTGACTTTGTGAATCCTATTTCAGAGACCCATTCCGATTCGATCTAAGGCTTTCGGGGAAGGTTAAAACAAAAAACAGGATTAAAGCCATTAATGGATCTGAAAAGGATGTCATTTATGGTCATTTTGATGAGTATATGTATAGAATGTGGTGTAGCTTCTCAGTTGGTACTCTTATGCTAAAGTGGGAGATGTTTTTATCACATATCAGAGAATGGTATCCTATGTAACAGATTTATACAGTTTTTATGCATTTTTGCATGTGATTGGTGCGCTCAAGGTCACTCGCTGATTGGTAGATAGTGGTGATTAAAGTTTAACTTTTCGGTAAAATGCTCGCCAAGCACACTGTTAGTGTGATCCGAGTTCGACTGCTGTCTGACGGACGCACTCCTATACCTCACTGAACCCGTAATAAGCCCCAAGTGTGAAGAGGGAAGTTTGGGAGTGAGGTTAGCAACCGGGACTAGTGAAACTTCAGGCTTCAAGCCTGAATCCCGTATATTTTTTACTCAAAACGAAAAAGGAATTAAACGGAGAAAAACAAGGATTCACATAGATTTATAGTGGTAACTCTGTAATGTGTTACTCACTGACTAAGGAATCAGCAGATGTGTACACTACTTGAAGTTTCTCTGCACTTCAGGTAAACACATCAATAGAGTGTGAGAACACAAAAATTCAGTAATTCTACAGTTTTCAAGTATTGGTTTTTGTAGGGATTTTGTTTGATTGCATGGAGGATTTCATCATGAGCTGACATCAGTTAGAGAACCACTGGAAAACCTGGGAGTACTGGACAGCTGTTTCGTCCTAGTCCGCCGGGATTCGAACCCAGGACCTTCTGGTTACAAGGCGAGCTCGTAGACCATTGAGCCACTGGGACTCGATCCAATGGTCCTTGAATTCTAACTTCTGCCAATTCACGAGCTCGCCTTGTAACCAGAAGGTCCTGGGTTCGAATCCCGGTGGGTGCGTACTGTGAAGAGTCCCAAACTAGGACGAAACAGCTGTCCAGTACTCCCAGATTTTCCAGTGGTTCTCTAACTGATGTCAGCTCATGATGAAATCCTCCATGCAATCAAACAAAATCCCTACAAAAACCAATACTTGAAAATTAATCTGATGCTCGCTAGTGACTGGCCATATTCAGGCAGTTAACCTGGGGTTCTAGTGGGAAGCCGTGACGAGTCGGGTACAGCAGGTTGATTATGAGGCAGTAACTCATCGAAGAAGACATTGTGAAATGGTCACGCTATATCGTGAATTGGCAGAAGTTAGAATTCAAGGACCATTGGATAGGGTCCCAGTGGCTCAATGGTCTATGAGCTCGCCTTGTAATTCTGCAGTTGACAAAATTGAGTACAAAATAATTGAATGATTCGTGGTCAATGAGGAGACGTTCACAGTCTTGAAGATGATTCAGAGTAAATATATCTTTGTCATCTTGAATGATTTGCCATGTATATAATGTCTCCAACTATTATTGATTCTTCGTACTGGAGTCTCCATGTTAGATTAAATTTTTTTGATAATAGCTTGAAACCACACAGTGCTTTTTGGTACAAGTATGGAATTTTCAGCATATGATATCGGTAAGCCCAAATTTTGCAGGCCGACCATAGATATCAGGTGTGCGTCGCGGTAGGGGATCGAACCCTGGACCATGTGCATGGCCTGCGAGAGTCCTTACCGTTGTGCTGCCGACGCACATATGTACATCTATCTGTTGTGCTCTAACGAACAAAAAACCTGCAATGTTTTCAATAATCATATTGTGTATAGTCAAGAATTATGACTAGGAAAATTGCTGAACATTTCTTATAATCTTTAATGGTTAGCTGAAAACAGTGTGGCTATACCGATGCGCTGTGCTTATCAGCTGGATGTGTTTGCAATTCGCACTGAGTGATGGTGCCGCCACTGAGACTGCAAACCCCCAGCACTCGTCGTTTCGAAAGACAAAGCGTTATTCACTGATAATATCGTGTTAATCCTCAGATATATTCCGCCCCGACAGAACTCCAGGTGAACATAGAGAAAATGGAGGTGATGTGAACATAGCTAATCAACCAACATCAGCAACAACAACAACCAGCACCAATCATCCTCAACGAGGGAGATTTGATAGAGGTTACACTTCTTTCACTTACCTAGGAAGCATCGTTTCAACTACAGACGGAACGGGTGAATACGACAAAGCCAGTCAGAATCAGAAAGGACAAAATACGCCTTCACCAATCTGAAACCAGCTTGGAAATCTTCTGCACTGTCTCACCATCAACAAAAAGATTCAAATTTTCAACACCAATGTTAAGTTATTCAGTTCTTTTACATGGGTCAGAAGCTTGCACTCCGCGTCACGAAGAGCATTTCCAAAAAGTTACGGACATTTATCTCAACAGTTGTGTGCGTCGGTGGCACAGCGGTAGGACGCTCGCCAACCACGCGTGTGGTCCGGGGTTCGATTCCCGGCCGACGAACTCCATTACCTCGCTAAGCCAGCAACAAGAGTGGTAAAGAGCAAAGGTTGGGTATGAGGTTAGCAACCTCATTTTGTAAAAATCAACACCACTGCTACAGAAACTTCAAGCCTCGAGCTTGAAGCCGCCCTATGTTCCACTGGAAACGTAAAGGTATAAAAAAGAAATAAACAGCTGCCCTCTTCTCTGGCTCCATATTGCAGATGAAATGGTCGGGAAGAATTGGAAACAAGAAAATTTAGGAGGGAACCAACCAAGAACCATTAGCTTAACAAAAATTCAGAAGCGAATGGAGATGGACAGGGCATACTCCACTGAGGAGGCCATCGAATGACATCACACGCAATTCAGGCCATTGCTCGAGTGGAATCCAAATAGGAAGTGACAAGTGGGTTGTCGGTGCGAGGGTTACATGGAAGAGATCGTGTGAGTTGGAGGAGGATATGAAAGAGATTATGGGCAATCGTGGACCCAACTGAAGAGGACAGCATCGAATAGAACAAAGTGGAGACGTTCTGTCGAAGTCCTATATTCCACAAGGAACCCAAGGGGAAAAATAATACTACTAATAATAGTAGTAATCCTCAGATATCGTTCGTACTAGGAGTTGACACATATTAGTGTGGCGTGTGCTACTTATAAGGTTTGTCATCAGTATATAAAGAGATCTTTGTTGGCATAAAAATCAATTAGCACAGAGATAAATTTGATGTCTGAGAAAGCAAATGATACAGCGTTGTGGAGATACACGGAAGACGACGTGAAAGGAACACAAAATACACAATACGAAGGAAGGCCAGAAGTAGCAAGTACAACACGGAAATCTGTGGAAATGGTGCGTTGAACATGATGTGTACATAATTTGACTACTTATGTAACAACAGAAGACAAGGGCCAGGCAGCAGATCGTTTATTTAAGAAGTCAACACATATATATTTTCATGCACATTATTATAGATTATTTATAGCAAGTCAAAAAACACAGTCTTCTGACTGGTGGTTGTTCCTCACTGAAAGCTAATCCTTCATCTCTTTGTGGCTGTTTCTTGAATGTCAGTCAGATCATCTATATGCTAACTGAATCCGCCTACGCAAAGTCTGCTGTGGTTGGTTGTTGAATCAGTCTTTGTTCTTATTTTTCTCACGACCAATACTGGGGGGAACGTTAACATTGACGTAAATTACTGTCGACCAATTTGGCTAGCAGCCAGCTCTCACCACACTTAGAGGTACCAAATTGCAAATAAACATTCTTTTACCAAGTGACTCCCACTTCTACTTCTACTGTTTCGCTAACACAGACCGAACATTTTGACCCAACATAATCAATGAATCAAGGAAGTACAAAATTCCCTTAAATAATTTGCTCGGTTTTCTTGACATGCTAGTACACAGATAGTCTTGCGGATGAGGTTGCGACTGAATGTCTGTCAACTAGCACGTCAACATATTCCAGATTGATTATATCAATATAACATGATGTAATGCATAGCTGTGCCTACTGTAACTGAATCAGTGTTTCAGTCGTAGGAATACTCGCCAACTATGAACATGGTACGAGGTTCGAGCCCCGGCCGATGCACTTCTAAACTTCACTTAACCGGTAGGTATAGTAGGCAGAGGGAGATAAAGTTGGTCGTATGATCAGTACCCCCAGCCAAATAAGAAAGAATAACATCAGTGCTACTGAGGCTTCATAATTGAAGCTTGAAGCCTGCTGTGTTCCACTTACAACGGAAAGGAATTAAGTCATGGTAGTAATAATAAAGAATCCCTGCGAAGTAATTCTTGGAAATTAATCTGATGCTCTCTAGTGACTGGCTAACTGCAGGACGAAGTTTCCTGAAGTTCTAGTGAGAAGTAATGACCAGTGGGCTGCATCCAGTCGGGAGTGAGGATGGAGTTCCCACCGATGACATTGATTCGACTGGCCATTGAATCGGGTCCCAGTGGCTGAATGAATCGTCATCAACGAGCTTGCCTTGTAACCGGAAGGTCTTGCGTTCGAACCCCATGATGTGTGTGGGTACTGGCGATGAGTCTCAAACTAGGCTGACGAAACAGCTGACTGTCCAGTACTCCCTGTGACTGGTTTTCAATGATTCTCCAACTGATATCAATCTTTAGAAAAAGGCATAGACAGCAGAGAAAATTTTCTTTTTGGCGATTCATTTTCATGAGCTGTACAATATCGTAATTATATTGAACAAAGAAATCTTTAGACCAATCAGATACTGGTGAACTTTATCCTTGAGAAATTGTGTTACATAATGTAAGGTGTAAGAAGGGATGACTAATTGTAAGATAGAAAGGAGACAGAAGTTGGCATGACGTTATAAGTGTGAGATAACGACTAATCAACAAGCTCGTGTAGAATGGACAGGAACTAATGGAAAGGCGATAGTGTTTTATATAAAATCTGTATGAAAACTCGGCGTTATTAATAAACAGTAATACAGTGGTAATAAAATATGGATGATGGGGATAATAACGATAATAAAATTAAAATAACAATAATAATAACAGTAAACTTACGTAATAAAAAAGAAAGAAGCAAAATTATAGTAAGAACTTTACTCTGGCTACAGTAGGGCGAGTGAATGTATGTATCGCTTTTCAATGCAGAAATCCGGTTTCAGATCTCGAATAGCTAATGCTTCAGCTATGTACAGATGGCGTATGCGAAGCCTCTTTGTACGATATTGTGGGACTCTGTGTAGCACTGTGAAGAATTCATACAAGTGGGGTGGGTGCTTGATGTCCGGAAATGACAAGGTTTTCGAGGATATAGCTGCTGCTATTCTTCTTTTCTCCTCTGACTGGCTAAACAAGCTGGACAGTGTTCCAGAATACGTTTGTGGACTTGATGTTGCGTACGGCCGATATACTTTGCGCCACACGAGCAAGTAAATTGATAAATAAATATTGAAGTGGCCGAAAGCGGTATCTTATCCTTAACGTTAGGCTGGATTAACAACTGTTTGCTGGAGAATGTGATACATAAGCTGGTTGTTGGAAATATCTTCTTCAGACATTTAGAGAGAGACTTTCTAAGAATTTCGGCTGCGATATGTCACCTTTAAATTCCAGGTTCATGAAGAGAGTTTTTCTTAGGAACAGTTGCGATGTTTGAAGTCGTTTTGGCTTCTTTTTCATGTTTTTTGTCTATGAATCTTGGTGGAATCTTACCTGTGTTCTCTATTAGGGTTTCACGTAATAAATTTAATTCTTTGGCAGCCACGTCTTCCGTAGCCGTTTAAGGGCTTATGGGGAATTGTCATCTGAATTGATAACAACCAATGGTGTCCGTCAGGGATTTCCACTTTCCCCAATTCTGTTTAACTTCATCATAGATATGCTAATGGAAGTATCCTTAACTGAACTTAACGACTGAGGAATAGACTTGTTACCAGGGAATAGTCTTATAGACTTAGAATATGCAGACGACATAGTCCTGCTAGGGGGGGACGCTGACAAAATGCAGAGTCTTCTGAACACCTCAAGGAGCAGCAATCTTCGTATGTTTGGCATGCGATTCGCCCCTGTAAAATGTAAGATGCTGCTACAGGACTGGACTACGTCTACCCCTAGCTTAGTGATAGGGAGTGAAGTGATAGAACATGCTGACCACTTCACCTATTTGTGAGGTTGTATCAGCACCAACGGATTGATTGGTGACGAAATCTCAGCACGGATCCAAAAAGCTCGAGCTGCTTTCGCTAACTTACCCCATCTCTGGCGTAGGCGTGACATCCGACTATCAACCGAGGGACGTGTGTACTGCTCAGCAGTTCGCTCCGTCCTTCCCCATGGCTCTGAAACGTGGCCAATACGAGTTGAAGACGACATGAAAAGGTTGACTGTTTTTGATCATAGATGTCTACGATCTCTTTCTCACGTTAGGTGACATAATAAGGTAAATAATGTTGACGTTAGGTGTAGAGTGTTGGGCAAAGAGGGGAAATCAATCGACGAGGCTATAAAGTTACATAGATTGAGATGGCTAGGTGACGTGCTGTGCATGCCTAACCATCGCCTCCCCCAACGGACGGGTATTACTAGCTGATATAGGTGCAGGTTGGAAAAGAGTAAGTGGTGACCAAACAAAAGCATGGCCTCATCAATCCATGAAATCCTTGACAGTTAAACTGAGTCAGGTAGGGAGATGCAGACTTCCGGGTTGAGGCCCGCCCTCGGGACTCTAAGAATCAATGGCTGGAGACAATAGGTGACATGGCTCAAAATCGTTGTCAATGGCTTACGCAGATGTATTCAGTCTCTGTAATCTTCCATATTCCTTTGTACCATTACTCATTCTGTTTCACTCTTAAACTTGTCAAAACTCTATTGATTCTCTTCACTCATTTTCCTGTCTACCTTTGTGTGGTATTTGGAACGTGGCAACTCGAAGTGCTGCACTTCGGTGGCAAGTTCTATGCTGAATCCAGACAGACAGAGACTTCCGAATAGATATCAATCTGTGGTCTAACCTGAATGATTGTAATAAGTAATCTGCTTGCTTTAATGCTTTCTTACTCATCCCAAATGGCCTTTCCTATCATCTCTTTTTTCTTTGTTAGTCAAAGAATCCAGGGGAATCACACAATGTTATCCATATACATTTCACTAAATGGGAGAATTTCGGTGTACCAACGACTGAGAATATGTGGCGACTTGTCAAGGAATACGATAGTATTTATCAGTCAATTGTCAAAAGGTCGAATGTTTCATCAATTGGTCCAACTGTTGTACATTGTAGGTAAGTTATGTCGAAGGAATAATCATCTTTTTTTCTACGCTTTTTGAACAAGTCTTTTTCCTTTCCTTGTTGAGATGAAAATAAGACCTGAATGAGAATACGTGCAGATGATAACAGCCAAAATCTCTAACCACAGGTTATTATTGTTAATTATTAATTATTTTCGTGGGTTCCGAGTGGAAAAATTAGGCTTTGGCAGCATATTTGAACTTCATCCCGTGTCCTGCAGCATTTCTAGCTGGCTCTACGGTTTTTTTCAAAAGGTCCCACTTCGTCCTCAGATGATGCCCCCCCCCCCAAGAAACACATCATTCCCTACTTGGGTTTCACCCTAATGATGGCTTGGCGAGTGATATCATTTAGTGGTCTCCTCTCTGTGTGTTCCTAACCCATCTCCATTTTCTTCCGCATATTTCTCGGGAGACTGATTCTTGGTTGATTTTCATTGTTTACCAGAGTTCGGTGTTACTCATCGTCCCCCCCCCTGGATATCTAATTTTCAGTATGAATACAGCGAAGGTGGCTGTTGAGAGAAGGTATGCAACAGCCCGTAGGAAACGCTCTCAGTGACACACACATAGAGAAGTCCTAGATGAATTAACATTAGTGCTGAAAATCAAGATCTTATTTCTTCTCCTACTGAGTGATGTAGATCTCCACAATGAATTCAAGATAATGGAGGTTTGTCCTGCTTTCCCGATCCTGCCTGACTTTGGCATTCTCATATGTGCCGCCACATGTGTAGTTGGAACTATGCTGCCCTAGATAAGTGAAAGAAGCGGCTTCCTTTAGGTTTCTCCTGCCGATGGTATTTAGTCAGTGACCAACTGGTCAGTTATCTTCTTTGCCTCTGCCTTCTCTATGTTCACTTAAAATCCCTCTGTCTTCGCTGCCTGCCGCTTCTGCCAACTTGTTGTTGGTTTTTCCATGTAGAGATCTTCGAGTTTTTGTGATACAAAACATACATCATCCATGACGTCCAGATCTTCTAGTGTCTTCTCTTCAATGCAACGCTCTCTCCTTCCATAGTCTGTTGCGCGATCCAGTCCACCACCACAATGAGGAATTTCATTGGTGATGACAGGCGGCTTTGTCTTCTCTTCACATTGGACCATTTTGACAACAGTAGGGAACTTATACAACTCAGAATAACATTAATTTATTCCAGAGGTTGGTATGATGGCTTGCTCTGACTACCTTTCAATTTCTTCTAGCCTTATTTGCCGTTTGGCATGTTTAACACATGTCCCACGCACATCTGAATGTTGACAGTTATAGTCTCTTTGACTGACTGAGCTCCAATCTTACCTAAGTCTTCGTGCTTAATTTTCGCAATGTTAATCTGCTGTTTTCGCCAACGACAGGCAATGCTACAAAAGTAACCATTTAGGAAATATATTGCACTGTGGTACATTGTATTCCATCTTTAACACGCTATCGGATGGATACCAGGTTTCCAACACAAGCAGAAAAAATTGAAGGCATGAAAATGGAATCGTCGATCAACCCACCAGAAATGATGAGATTCTGTTCGATGGGGACTCTCGATCAAAAGAACACTCTCATATTGTCATTTCTATTGATTAACAGACTAAATTTTGAACAAAGCAAGAAGTACAGTTTTTGCAGAATAAAATGGTACCATCATTGCTTATTTCGTTGCCTTCTCATCAGCTGCTTACAGGCCAAAGTCATTATTAAGTGTATCTACAGAAACAATTTTAATGAACTGCAATAGCATTGATCAAACTTTACAAATCGATATTATTTAAAAAAACGCTGATATTGTGGTTAACTACTAATTTAAAATATTCTGTGTATATAAACATATATATAATTGTAGAGACTGGAAGAGGAATTTATCGAAAAGAATATTCTTTGCTCCGTTATTTTGTGTTTTATAGATGTCTGAATGAATATTTTTGCAATTTTAACATACTTGCACAGAGTTCATTTTAAACAAAAATCAATCGATCAATTTATGCATACAGTAATAATATATATAATATTAAACACTATTCCGAACAATAGTAATCATACACAATGGAAACTTTTCAGCATTTCGCATTCAGATGAAAGAGAGATGAAAATATCCAGTTACCCGACAGGGCAAAGAAAGACTGATAACTGTTTCTTTCTGAACGCATAAATCAGGTTTCAGGCGCTTGATGGAAATGACTTCAGCAAACTTGAGGAGGATTGAACTCTTTTGCACCTGTTGATAATTTTGAATGACTTTTCGACGTCCACCTCATGACCAACGCGTGTCACGGAGATGCCTGGCGATGGCACTTTTTAAAGCATTTGTTCCCTTTAGACGTAAGGTTTTTGTTACATGTTCAGAAAACCGTAGATGTGCCCTTCTTTCTGTTCTTCCAATGTAACTGCTCCCGCAATAATTCGGAATAGTGTTTAATATTACTTATATATATATATATATAATTGCTGTATGCATATATTGATCGATTGATTTTTGTTTAAATAAACTCTGTGCAAGTATGTTAAAATAAAGAAAGAAGAAACATTGGCGCAGAATAATCTGGATCCATTTTATTTTATCGGTTCTCATCAGCTGCGTACAACCTGAATTTTTTATAATTAAAAGTAAGAAGTGTACAATTTTAACAAACCTTTGTCCATTAGCAAGCATAGTGTCAGAGCGTCATAGTAAAATAAGGCATTGAGATTTACAGGGTGTCTAAAGTGTCACGACATATATATATCTTGGTAGAGAGAAGTTTCTTGAAAAAATTAGTTAACAGTTGTGTTGTTAAGGTGGTAACAAAAGACAGTTAGCAATAGTTACGTAATTAGATAAGAGAAGATCAAAATTTTAAAATTACGGTGCACATGAGGTCAGATGAGAAGTTGATGATGTAATACAGTGAGCAGAACTCAGAAGATCAAGAAAAATTATCTCTTAAGAGAGTCAAGCGAAAAATAAAGGGGGGTGGAGTGAAAAGATAAGTTAACAAAATTAGAAAACAAAGAGTTACTAAGAAGTGAGTTACCAGGGTAATTGAAGTTCAACAACGGATTCTTTTTGGACACACAAGTCAGGCTTCAATCGTTTTATTGCTATAGCTTCAGCAAACCTGAGAAGACTTGAGGTACTTTGTCTGTTAATTATTTTGAATGATTCCAGCACACCTACTCGGTGTCCTGTGTCAATCAGATGTTTGGTGATTGAAGAGCTTAAATAATTCGGTTCCTTTAACCGGAGGCCCTCCTCTCTGTTCTTCCAATGTAACTGCTCCCGCGCCAATGTTTCTTGTTCTTTGTTCAAATTTATAAAACGGAATCACTGTATTTTAAAATAGTTTTTGTAGATATATGTAATAATGACTTTGGCTTGTAAGCAGATGACGAGAAGGCAACGAAATAAAAGATGGTACCACTTTATTCTGCAAAAACTGTAGTTCTCGCTTTATTCAAATGCGCATTAAGGGGAATAAATGTATGAAATTTCTGAAAAATCGCATCCCCAGAGACTAAAATTTTGTTAGCGTCTTCGAGTCAGATTACCACTATGTCGTTGACATATTCTGTATATCCAACCAATCAAAATAGCTGAAGCAGATATAGTCGAAAAAAGGGTCCATAAATACTGTGACTTACACACCAGTCATGAGTGTAGAATGTCAGTCAAGTAGAGATAAGAAGTAAAAGCCATTCCTAATAAATTTCCTTTGTCAGATTTTTATGACGAACCAACATTAGTTAGAGAGATCACTGAATCTTCGCCAGTGCAAGCCCACGACCCCATCTCCAGAGATCGGTCCCTGTACCTTTTAGGCTTTCGATAAGACCAAGCTCACTGACTATTCGTTCACTTGGACTGGAATTCAATGATCTGTGAATTCTATCAATGTCAACGCGTAGTAATGTAGTTCTGCCCTCAGTCATACATAGCCTTCGACGAGTCTCCAATTCTCCTTGAAATAGTGGATCCCAGTGGTCACAACCTTGTACTACAACTTAAGGACATTAATCATAAAGAGCATCTCAAACAAACTACAGACCGTCATTAATAGTTGTCTTCGCTCAATACTCAAGATCAGATGGCCAGCCAGAAAAGATCAGCAATAGAGATCTCTGGGAGCGATTGTGAAACAAATAGGCAGGAAGAAATGTAGATGGATTGGCCATACTCTGAAGAAACAAGCCATCAAGTGACATCACTAGACAAGCCATTGCTCGAGTAGAACCCGAAAGGGAAGCGGCAAGTTGGTCGTCCAAGGGGGACTGAGTGATCAGCGAGCTTGGTTTTGCACCTCGAAGGTCGTAAGTTGGATTCTCAGGACCTGTGGTCATTGGGTTTGCAAAATAGGAAGAAACAGTTGTGTCCAATGCTCCCTGGTTTTCATTGACCCCTCTAAAGGACCCTTTTGTTTTGTGATGAAAATCCAGCAGTCGCAATTAATCCCAAATCCCCACCCCCCGAAAAAATTCCCATAAAATCTGAATTGTTTTAATAAATTTTGCGCTGGAAATTTGTCACTCAAGCTGGGAATAGAAAAAAAACTGTCCATAGTCAAATATTCAAACTCTAAAAACATACAAAACCGTTTGTACATCTGTCGTGAGTTATAAATTTCAAAGTAAGAGTCCGCAACCGGACACTTTAATATATGTGTAAAACTTGGGCACTATGGTAGTAAGTAATTCCATATTATTAAATGTATCACAGTGAGTGAAACAGTATTATTTACTGAATGACAGTGTTTCGAACGCAGTTCACCATTGTTCATAATCATGCCATCAATTATAATCACACGACTTCGAATCTTGAGGTTTACAGTTTCTTTTGTTCTCTCCTATTTGTCCTCGTAGGGGTAGTAGAAGTTTCAAGATATCCGACTGGACAGGTGCTGAATCATTCCTATTACACGTATTAGTTCGCAGTGGATTCGATAAACAAAGCTTCGGTTATCAATCTCTCCCTCCACCCTGATGTCACATTAGATTTTAAAACCTTCATCCTATCCTGTAAAGCCTTTAAAACAAAACAATTTAGTTTATCGAATACCCTGCTGGAATGATTGTCAGATCAAGTACATAGGTCAAACTAGTAGAACAGGGGCAGTCAGACTAACTGAGCATAAAAACCTAGATTGGTTGACCCGAATAATAAGATAAGAAATCTAGAGAATAATTCGGCCGTACATAGCACTACACCACATGCAATTACACACAACCATACAATACGATGGGATGGGATAAGATAACAGTTTTAAAATCTAATGTCGTAGGGTGGAGGGAGAGATTGATAACCGAAACTATGTTTATCGAATCAACTGCAAACACGTGTAATACGAATGATTCAGCACCTGTCCAGTCGGATATCTGGAAAATTCTACTACCTCTTCTAGGACAAATAGGAAAGAGTCAAGAAAACTAAAAAACTCAAGTTTCAAAGTCGTGTGATTATAACTAACTTGATTATGAACGATGATGGATTGTGTTCAAAACTGTGTCAGCCAGTAAACAATGCTGTTTCACTGAGTGTGTGTGATATATCTAATAAACAAACTAATATGGAATGACCATTATTATTATTTTATGTATTCACACCTTTGTTTCAGTTTCCAAATGGGATACAATTTCTGGAAAAGAAACGAACCATTTATATATACGATTGTACAGCATTCTTATTTATCTGATGGGAAGTAGTACACTGCTATGGACAACAAAAAGAAGTCTTCTAACGCTTTGCTCCCTGTAGCCGGTATCCCTTCCTACTCCTTTTCTGTTTTCTTTCCTCTTACATGACTTGTGCCTCATTCTGATGAAACTAATTTTGTTAACTATGTATTTCGGTGATCTGACTGTTTCCATGTCGGTTACATCAAATTCGTTCCTCACTGTTTTTTCTTTGTAAGACAGAGGACAATACTAAAGTCTAAAATGCATAACTTGAATAAAATTCTTCCTCTGATCCGAGCCTTCTTAGTTTTCCCTCCAGTTGTGTTAATTTCAAAAAGAAAGATATTGCATCTGACCTTCTGTGTAAAGGAGTTAAGACAATGGGATATCACTCAGTTTTTAATTTTGATATTAAATTCAATTTTAAATTTTCCCGTTGATTGATTGGACAGAAGTGTTCGACCTTAGGTTGTCCATGTCAGCGCCTTGTGCAGATGCTTCGACGATGTCTGGGCATGTAATTAGCAGTTAATTGGTAGATGATGGTGACTAGCAGTGGAATCCATCCAGGATAATGCGCATTTCGTCCCATTTGGGACTCGTCAGCTAGCGGGGTGTACCTGCATTCCGCACTGAGTGATGATGTTCCCCCCACCGAGGCTCGAACCCCGTGACCATTGTTTCAAACGAAAAAGTCTTTTCGAATAATAAACTTCAGTGCAAACATTCATATGATTGCATCCTGTTAAAGTTTTTGTTTCATATTCACGCTCTTTTTTCCCACTTTTTTCTTCTTGCTTTCTTTTGCACAGTGCTGGAGTTGGTCGAACGGGGACATTTATCAGCGTTTTAATAATTCATCGACATCTTCGATCACCAGACTGTGAATGGATTACTCTGGCGAGTGTTGTATTACTGTTAAGACTTTGGCGTTGTTGTATGATTGAATTAAAGGTGAACTATGGTTTGTTTGTTTTTTATTAAGGTATACCATTTTTGAATACTTGATCTATTCATTCCCCTTTAGGTGGCACCACAGGTTCTCATCTCCTCACGTCACTCAATCTCCTCCATGTCACCCTAGGATCCAAGCCTAAATAGTGGTTTCCTGATCAGGTTCCTGCTTGGCACACTATGTCATTCAACGGTCTCTTCACAGGGTTTTCATTCCATCTCCATTCTCTTGGTTACTTTGTTCCTATAGTTTCCTGCGGCTAATTCTCTTCGGTCGGCCAGTTATTTCATCTTCAATATGAACCAAGAGAAGACAGTTGTTGATAAATGTCTGTAACTTGTTGGAGATGCTTTTTCGTGGCATCTTGGCCAAGTTTCTGACCTGTATAGAAGAACTGACTGACTTAAAATTGGCGATGAACGTAATCCGAATCTTGTTCTTTACACTGGCTGACTGCAGTGCAGAAGATTTCCAAACCGATTTTAGAGTGATGAAGGCGTATCTAGTCTTTCCGATTCTAGCCTTTTTTGACACTTTCATCCGTACTGTCGCCTGCGGTTGAAACGATGCTTCCTCTGTCAAATCCCTCTCGTGGTTGGTTTAATTGGTGCTGGTTTTCGTTGCTGCTATCTTCATCACCTCTGTCTTCTCTATGTTCTCTCTGAAGTCATATCTTCTCTGCCTGCTTCTCTTCAGCCAGTTTGTTGGTTTTCGCCTACCTCTAAGTCTTCGAGTTCGTGTAACATCAGACACATTTGTCTCCGAAATCCAGTTCTTCTAGAGATTTATTATCAGTGGTCTAGCGTATTCCTGTTTTCTCACTCCCTGTGCCCAGTCTGACGCATAATCCAGTCCGCCGCAATTGTTAATATCATTGTGGGTGATAGTTGGCAGGCAGGCAGGCTTGTCTTACTCCTGTATTCACTTAGAGTGCCATTGTAGATGGCCTGACACGTGCCACTATCATACAGCTGTTGAATGAGGTTTATAAAGATATGGGGTGCTGCACTCTTTAGTGTTAAAGTGGTTTCCAAATTATTTCTCTGTCAACGCTTTCGAAGGCATTTTCATAGTGTCAATGAAATTCAAATGGAGGTTTGACTGCTATATTTGATGCTTTGTTTGATAATGATGGAAACAGGCATAAAATGGACTCACACAAAAGACTTGGAGGATCTGGACTTCGCCGATGTGATATATGTCTGATTTCCCATAAACTGGAAGATATGAAAGTGAAGAGCAACAAGTTGGCTGAAGAAGCATCCAGAGAAGATAGAATTTCAGGTGAACACAGAGAGAACAGAAGTAGGTAATGAAGATTCCTGGCCAACAGCAACAACAACAACAGACAACAATTAGCATAAATGGGAGAAATCTGAAAGAAGCAACCACCTTCACTTACCCAATTACCTGGGAAGCATCGTTTCTACTACAGGCGGAACTGACGAGGATATCAAAGCAAGGATCGGGAAAGCAAGGCAAGCTTTCATTTCTCTAGAGTTTGTATGGAGATCAATAGCACTCAGCATGAAAAATAAGATCTGGATTTTCAACTCCAATGTGAATTCAGTGCTACTCACTATACGGATCAGAGATTTGGCGCCGTGTCACGAAGGGCACATTGAACAAACTACAGGCATTCAGCAACAGGGAGGGATCTCTGGAAGCCAACCAGTCCAGCAGAAACCAGTTGTGCAGCAAATATGCAGGGAGAAATGGAAGTGGATTGGCCATACTGTGAGAGAACCATCAAGTGAGTGACATCACACTCCAGGCCATTGCTCAAGTGGAAACCGAACGGGAAGCGGCGAGTTGGTCGTCAGAGGATGGGGTGACATGAAGGAGTTCATGCAAAGAGGAGATGAAAGCATGTGGGCAAACGTGGAGCCAAGTGAAAACGTTGGTAGGGAACCGAACACAGTGAAGACGTGCGGCTGAAGTCCCATTTTCCTCCAGGAACTGAAGGAAACAATAATAATAATAGTAATAATCAACAATGATAATGCGTAGATATGCTATTTGATGATCAGGGCATGATTTACGTTCCCTAAATCCAGCTGGTTCCGGGTGGTTGGGGGCGGGGGGTAGAGCGGGCGAAGTTCTGGATAGAACAGCGGTTCTTTATTTCTCACATTCCCAGTGTGACATGGAGCTTCAATCTATGTAAAGTTTCAGTGTAACCGTGCTGCTGTTTGTTATTTTTCTGTTTTACACACGGTGAATGTGCTATCCTCATACGCCTGTTCATCTCTCCTTCGCCAAGCTTATTATATGGGCTAGTGAACTAGCCGAGCCGTGCCGAGGTTTATGAGTTCCTCGGTCGCGGGAGTCGAACCTCTTGATATGTAGTCAGATGATATCTGCTTTTCTTTTTGGCTAATCTGATATAGTTTGCTATGTGTGTGTCCATTGATGATCGTTAGTCAGTAATGATTCACAATCTATCTTGTCTGTCTACCAATGAAATAACAAACAATGAATGACCTTTGTCACCTGACATAGCAGCCAATCAGAATCCAGTTGGCAGTAAGAAAAACTACTTTATCTATCTTATTGATTCATATATGTTAAAACAATTAGTTCCTTTGATAAATTTGAATAAGGCATTTAAAAGACAAACTACTTCATTACTAGCCAGAGCCTATCCTGCAGCTAAGTTGGTCCCTGTCCATCGAACAACATGCTCTTTGGTGCAGTCAAAAGTCGATAGATACCCTTCTCATGTTAACTCCAACTGTGTATACAAATTTACGTGTATCTGCGGGAGCAGTTACATTGGGAGAACAGAAAGAAGGGCACACCTCCGATTTTCTGAACATGTGCCAAAAAGCCTACGTCTCAAGGGAACAAACTCTTATAGCAGCGCTATCACTAGACATCTCGACACGGGTCATGAGGTAGAAATCGAGAAATCCTTTAAAATTATCAATACACAGAGGAGTTCCATTCTCCTCAAGTTTGCCGAAGCAATCTCTATCAAACGCTTGAAACCAGATTTATGTGTTCAGAAAGAAGCAGTTATTAATCTCTCTTTGCCCTGGTAACTGAATGTCTTTATTCTCTCATCTGATTACGTAATCTTTGTCTTTAACCTCACCCCTTTTATATTCTGTAATTTTGCTTGTCTCTTTTTTCTATGATTTGAGTTGAACTCAGTACATTGTTACCTAATTTATTAGTCACTCTGTATCTAACTCATATTTCGTCTTTATTACGTAACTCCCTTACCATTGTATGCATACATCTATTTTGTTTAAACTTGAACTGCATGTGTAAAAACTATATAAGCGCAATTTTCTGAGCACTGTTCACTTACTGTGGAACTTTTTGTCAACTGGCAACATGTAAAAATTTGCAAGTATGTTAAAACTTTTCTGTACGCAAACCTCATTATTTATTTAGGCTGTAAGCAGCTGATGAGAAGCCGACGAAATAAATGATGGTACCATATTATTCTGCACAAACCACTTTTGTTCTTGCTTTATTCAAATCCATCAAGGGGAATAAATGCACAAAGTACTTCGTAGTATCTTTACAACCGCTTTACAACTAACTGGGTAACCATAATAATAAAATAAATGCATGACAATTACTCAGTTATATAAAAAAGCAAAAGTACATACTACTAATGACCAATCGTCACATTTAAATAGGTCAAATAGTCAGTCAGTCCATGGTAGGCGAAGGTTGAAGTCTGTTCTTTGTTGTACACATAGTTTAGGCTGTGTGTGATGACTAATCCAGAGTGCTTTCATCACCTTCAATAACCAACAGTAAATTAGAGTTATGTGATGAAATAATTGTGAAGCCGTTATTAATTGATATTGATTTTGTGACCTGAAATTATTAAGTGCTTTGCAATGCGTGATGATGATGGATTTCTATATGTTTCAATAACCATTTTGGAACTTTCATTATAATAAAGGTTTTTGTATTTCCCAATGAATGGAAAACAAAACGACATTGCTTTTACTGACGTTTCGCTATTTAATGCTAATATCTTTATCAAAGTATTATTAAACCAGAATTTACAAAATCTCAGCATATATATAACAAAGAGTTAGGGGGTGAGAAAGTTAAAATACCAATGAAGATCACTAAACCAAATAAAAAAGGTAATAGTACATCTGTTATGGTATCAAAATAAAGTTTACTAACTTGATCATTGTTCGTTAGTCTGGGGTCATTTTTCGTTGTCAAGTTGGTCATTTGGTAAAGATAATAAAATCAAGCGTAGATTGTTGGATTTGATCAGTGTTTAAAATTATAAAGACAGTGTATGTTTACATAGTGAACTTGCTTATCACATTCGTGTTGATTTTGTCGCTTCATGGGAGAGGGGAGGGAGGTGTTGTAACCAGGTCAGATTCTGTTTTAGTCCATCATTCCTATTCAGGCAATTTGGATTCCACTTGATATGAAGTGCTTCTGATATTAGACGTTCTTTATGATTTCTGAAGTTTTTCTGGATTATTTCAATATTGTCAAAATCAATTTTGTGACCTGGTTCTATAGCATGTAGACCTATGGCTGATGATTTTTCAAGTTTTTTCAGTTCAATTGGATTTCTCGGTGGTCGGACAGATGCTCTAAGGTGTTGATTTCTTCTGATTTTGATTTCTCTCTGGCGATGTTTGTCCGATGTATATCGCATCACATTCCAAGCATTTTATTTTATAGACACAATTAGATAGAGAATCTTTAGGGATTTGGTCTTTTATATGGACAAGGTTGTTTCGTAGTGTGTCTGATGTTTTGAAGAAAACTCTAATGTCGAGCTGATTGAGTGCTCTTCTGATATCGTCTGACATCTCTGCTCTATATGGAATGACGACTGTTGATGTCCATGTTTTCGGAATGCGTTTTCGGCCATACTTAATGTATGTGTTGATTTGTTGATGAAGTCCCTTGGGTAGTTGTTTTGCTTGAACATGTTCTTTTCGACCACGACATTGGAATATTCTATTGGTTCTACCTATATAGGTGTCACCGCAATAACTGCAGGTGAACTTGTAGATACAGTTTGAAG